CCAACTCAAATATGCGAGCCATTTAAACGCCCCGTTTGCCTCTATTAGTTTTTTTAATAATACTTAAAAAATGAAAGAAAGGGTGAAAACCTTCCGCAACTACAAGACTATTCCATGACAAACTTTAATATCGTCTGTAAAATCCTAATCACTTTTTCTTTGTTTATCAGAGAATGAAGGAAAAACCAGAACTCCAAATAGAGAGATATACACTACATATCTCATGAAACATGGGATGAAGAAAATAGAAAAGTTTATTGTCAATGGGCACAAATCTATCACTCCATGAATGCCGATCTTCCACAGATGAAGACATTGCTATAGAAAACTATCAAGGGATTAGTGAAGCATATGAAATCTTGACTGATGAGTATTGAAAAACGAAAACAAAGAAAACGGTTACAAACCAAACCAGCTCTAACCTGGTGCCGATGCATTAATAAACGATTGCAGACCAAATAAGGGAGGAAGTCATTTGCAAGAAATTGTTTCAAGTGCCCATCATTTCTTACTCACTTGAGTACTCTGCTTTTTTCAAAACACTTGCAACCCATTATGAACTGGATTCGGTAATGACTCCCTTTTCAAGTCAAATTTATAAAATGTCAACTTTATTTTCTAATGATGATATTGAGAAAAAAATCCATCTCAACTTGAAGATTTGTCGGTTTGTTGCTTCAGTTCTCATTTGAAGAATAAGAAACACTGAACGTTGACTTAGAGAAAGCAAGTTTACCATGGAGGAGCTATGCTAGCACTTCAGTATAAACAATTCAACACCAGAATTTTTTCCCCTGCAATCGTTCGTTAATGGCATCTGCTCAATGGAAGGGCTAGGTCTGAACAGTTTTCTCTATATTTTTTATCGTCTGTCGAGCTGGGCGGTCAAAGTATCTATTTTTATTCTCTTTTTTTTTATTTTTAGTTTGAAAAAATTGAGATATTAAAAAAATGTAGATAGTCCCGTTAAATGATTCGTACATGTGACCATGCGAAATCTGATGTGTTTCAATGTAATTTGGAATGCATCACAGCACACACATAACGAAGTGCAGGAAATCCAGACTCGAATCAGACAGCGGTATTTGATACCAATCCAAAAAAAGGATTGAAAGCAAGTTTTGGGGGGTAACGGGTCTATTAGCCCCTCACACCCTACATGCGGAAGCCGTGTGAAGGGACAGATGGCACACTACGGGCATGTGGGACATTTGTGGGGCGAGAGCGGGTAGGGTGCAGATTTGAACTCTTCCAATGCACCCATGGAATGAAACTGTTGATCTGAGCCAAGACCTCCATCTTCATCAATATTTTCAGAAATTCGATAGTTCTAGTTATATGATTAAAACAGTAATAGGAGACCAAATAATTTATCAGACTCGCAACAACGAATTTTCATTGCAAAATTCAAGTATAACCATCTTTACTCTTTAAGTTCGGAACTGAATTTCAGCAAAAAAACAAAAAAAATGAATGTACTTTTTTTCATTAAAAATCCTTGACTGTAGCACGAAAAAAACTACAAACAAGGCCAACAAGCCAAAGTTTCCCAACAACAAAACGTAAACGAGTCCAAATTATTTTCCTCTGTAAATCAGAGGGAAAATTTGTAAATCAAAGGGATGAACGTATTCTCATTCTCTTCTCCTCCTCCTCTTCCTCCTACCATTAGGATAAGGTTCCCATAGTCCAAGAGCATAGCGGTGGTGTTGGTGGTTGCAGTTGCGACCTTTGTAAACCAAACTACTTTTCCTTCACCATCTAAAATCTGGAGATTTCCGTCCCAGGCCATGGTAAACACTCCATCCCCTATTTGGAATTGAGCGGTCTCTGATAGCGACCCACACAAGTGTTTGAGGAGACACACCATGATACCAAATCCCCAAGTACCGGTTGTTGGTAGAATTACTTCGAGTGAAAAACCCCAATTCGAATCTGCCTCTAGCAGAAACGAGAGTTAAGAAAAAAAGGTTTAGCAGATTCCGATTCTGATAGAAGTTTGGGTTTTAAAAACATGGGTTTGTCGCTTCCTTTATTTTGGGCTTTTGGAGGATAGCGAGCGGCGAACCCTTTATTTTGGGCTCTTGGATTTTTGTCATAAAATGATGGTGGACTATTGAGAGTTTGGGCTCTGTTTCATTTTCTTGAGAAAGAAGACGATGAACAGTGTCTAAGGGTAATTTTGACATTTTCAAAAGTCTTAAATCGCACATGAGGTCACGTGACATACATAACTGACGGTCTATTAATAGTAGGTATTAAATTGTCGCATTTCAAAAGTTCGGGTACTAGATTGTCACATTTTGAAGTTTGGGTACTAAATTGACACGGCCTAAAGTATAAGTTATCTATCGGGAATTTTTTCTAAACTTTATTTGTTTTTCATTTTATTCACGTATTAGGCCAGAGATCCCAAAACATGAGTAGTTCCATATGTAATATTTTTATGCATTTATAATTTTTATTATTATCTAGATAAAAAATTCTAAATGGTAAGGGCATATTGATAATTAATTGTAGCATAGATAAGACTTTTTTCTACAAAACAATATTAAGGGATGTCAATGGATCAAGTATATTTGGTTTAGGGTCGGGTTAGGGTTTTGATTCTTTGACCCTAGTTAGGTTCGATTTTTTATTGACTCGCCCTGCCAGGTCATGATAACTTGCATATATACCAAGTATTCTTGCAATTTTTTGACTTCTAACTTTATAGGCTTAAAGTTTATAATTTATTTATATGTTTATTTTTCTTTTCTTCTTTTTTTAAATGGAAAAAATAACACCTTATAATCTATAAAACAATTTCCTTACTTAAATTAATGTATTTTAGATCTTCAAAATGTGTTAAGAAGTGCATTTGAAATTATACGAATCAAGTCGGGTCGGACTCGGGTTAAACCCTATAGGGTTAGGTCGAGTTTCGGGAATCATGTGTTTTTAAAACGGGTCGGGTTAGGGTTGAGGCAAACCCATGCCGAACCCAACCCATTGGCATCCCTACATGGAAAAAGGCTTTTTTTAACAAAAGGATAAGGCAAAAAGCACTCGTCCAAACACTTAAAAGCACATTTTAATTTCCAAATGCCTATTGGTTTAGAACAAAAAGCACTCTCAAATAGTTAAACGTGGTCTAAATCCACTGAAGAAAGGTAATGTGTGAAGAGTCTGAATTTGCTCATCATACAATGCGCCTCATATCATCTCCCCATGAATGACAGCAAGTATGGGTGAGGAGAAAATTCATTCTCGTGTGTGGAGTACAATATCATGAATATCTTCATTGTCACTTACACATTTGTTGCAACCACTCTCTTGAGAGACTAAGAGCTCAATGAAATGGGAACAAATTAGTGATGAAAATAATCAAATAAATTTAAAGGAATTTTTACTTATGCCGACTAAATAAGTTAACTTTTATCTACAATTGCGAACGATGACAATGGGAGGAATTGATGCCTATACAAGGGGGTATGGTGTCAAAATATGGGTGTTGGATGTTTTGAATTGTTGTGGGTGCACAATGTAGTTAAAATTTGTTAAGTGAGTTTTAACCATATTTTCTCTAAAGCTATGTTTGGTTTGAAAGAAAAGATAAAGAAACTTATACAAGTTTTATAAAGGTTTCTTTACTTTTCTCTTCCTTTCCCTATTTTTTTCCTTCAAACCAAACACAGCTTAAAGTCAAAGCAGCATTTGAATGTTATTTAATTTTCATCGCTGGCACTCCCCCTTTTTCATTAGGGTTCATAACGGAGTGTACTGTGCTATGACCCTTGTTGCTTTGGTTGCCCGTTTAGATGAATTGAAAGCCTAAAAATTATATTTGATGAAAAACCCAGAAAGCCCAAATACACTTTCTTTCCAGTAAAGTTGAAGCTTCTTCAAAGCACTCATGTAAATGTAGTTCGACTATGTGACCAATCATAAATGAACACAAACAATACTTCATGCACATGGGACAAGTGGACAACATTGGGTAGGGATCTGCTACCAACAAAACACTCCAAACACTATCCCAACAAGTTATTGCAGCAGCACATTGGGAAAGGACATATTTCATTTATGGAAATATGTTCCCAATATGCAACTGCAGAGTCAATTGGAATAATTGGAAGCGTTTATTGGTAGCAGATCCAACATAATTATACAAATTCACAGCAGATCCCAACTCCCTATAATCAAAGTCAGGGTCACCCACCAATGAAAGACGTTCCAACACCCTCCCAACATCATCTAACACACCACATTTCATTCATGGCGTATCAGAATCACATCTCTGCCCCACAGCACATTCCCGCCGTGTATTAAGAAGATCTCCTGATATTGGAAAAGATATTCCTAATAGACGGTGGGGATGTGCTGTGGGGCATTGTGGGGCGGAGATGTAGTCTTGGCGCATCCCACCTCAAAACTCCCCATGATCTAAGTCTAGGTCACCTGCCAAGGAAAGATGTTCCAAACACCCTCCCAACATCATCTGATACCCCACATTTCATTCATGGCGTGTCCCACTTTTGTGGTGGGTACCAAAATGATGATTTGATGTGTGGTATTAAATCATCATGTTAGGAGAGTGTTGGAACCTCTTTTATTGGTAGATGATCCCAACTCCCATGACCCCATCTTCAATCAGATGAAATGATTTTTTGGGTAACGGGTGGGAGACCGGATCTGCTCCCTATAGATGGCATCTCACATCGACCTCACAGGTATATTCTACCGTGTATTGGAACATCTCCCGTATTTATGTATTATTGTTTATGGGAAAATGTTCTCAATGTACCGTGAGATGTGTCTGTGAGGTCGTTGTGAGGCGACCTGAGGAACAAATCCCAATTCAAAGTGTGGGGCGCTAACACTGCAAAACATGATTTCCGGTTTTAGCCCTGCGCTACGATTGTGACGCAGCAAAAGTGAACTCTCCAAACGGGCCCTTAGAGAGTCGACGATCACAAAGCCTATACACGTAGCTTTGGCCATCCTCACCCCACCACTTCAACCCTTATATACGCGCTCGTCTCTTTCGATGTTTTCAATTTCTTATCTGGGTCCAGACTCCAGAGCTTTCACTCGTTGGAACAATAAGCTATTTCGAATTTTCGGTAGAGATAGAGAAACAATGGGGAGTGCACCATCGATGCTAACTCAATATGATATTGAAGATGTTCAGGAATATTCCTACAATCTCTGTAAACTCTTACTCTTTTTCTTATTTCTCTTTGCTTCTCTAGTTCTAGCCAAATTACGTCTCTTGGGGAAATCCTTATTTATTTCTGAAATTCAGTTTCTCAGCAAGAAATAGTGTCCCTGTACGAAAGATTTTGTCAGCTCGATAGGAACGCAAAGGGTTTCATCTCCGCTGACGAGTTCTTATCTGTTCCGGAATTTGCCGTAAATCCCCTTTCTCAGGTACTGACTATATCAATTTGTGTCTAGGAGGTTTTAAGGTGAAGGAATTGTTTTCCTTTAGAAAAAAATTACAGACTCATTGGTGATGCACTTCATGTGCTTGAATATTTGATAGTTCTGTTTATGCCTTTGCAGAGGTTGCTTAAGATGGTTGATGGATTGAATTTTAAGGACTTCGTGGCCTTCTTGTCGGCTTTTAGTAGTAAAGCAAGTATTCAACAAAAAATTGAACGTGGGTTTTACTTCCATGGATTGTAAAGATTGTATACCCCTTCGCAATGCTATTCATACTTGTAGATCTTGCTCTGTTTACTATTTCTCAATCTCTAGTTTACTAATTACGCTTAGAACCCCCTGTATAGATCATAAAAGAACCCACCTCAAGAAATGATGAGAATAATCGTTTAATGGGGGCTGCCTAGTCTGATGTTAAAACTCCACTTGACGGATTGATTGCTGGTGGTTATGATTTTCCTATCAGGCCAGTAAGTAGGACCCTTTGAATGCTGGGACCTCCCCCATCCCAGGAGGGAAAAGAACGATTTGCACCTTAAATTTTGCAATGAAGTTATAGGGATGTTAAACTTGGATTTTCACTTATTATATTCCTTGAATTTTGGATTGTTGGTGAAAGATAATTCACAGTTCATACTTCGTACTATACATCATTGACTACCTTTGGGCTTTGGGGCTTTGGTTGGTTTTTTTTATTGATATTGTTTTTGTATCTCAGTCATCTTCAAGGTCTATGACTTAGACAACAAGGGAAAGGTCACTTTCAATGATATATTAGAGGTGCTGCGAGATTTGACAGGTTCTTTCATGACTGAGAAGCAAAGAGAGGTATATTTCTCAGTGGTATATGTTCCTTTTGGTTTTCCTCTTTCAAGTAAATAGTCACCAATGCACATAAGCTTTTGCTTTAGCCAGTTCTACCAATCAATATCTGTTGCTCAGAAGCAGAAAGATGTCTTGTGGGAATTATTTACCTTGGTTTTTTATACCGTAGTAGATTTTCTTGTAATCTTAAACTGCAATGATGAGAGATTGTCATTGATACACGTGTGCAATGAAAAGTTGGTTTTTCCTTAGTTTTTAAAATTTGTATAGTAAGCCCTATTAAGACTTCCATACCATATATTTCTCAGACAGTTTTGAGCCAAGTATTGGAGGAAGCTGGTTACACAAGGACATCTTTTTTACTGTTGGATGACATCATTAAGGTATTTTCTTCCCATTTCAGAGCCTTTTGTCAAGATTCCTGTGGAGATTTGTTTTCTATTAAACAATTTGGCCTTCTGTAGTGGTATAAAATACAAGGCTGCCCTTCATTTTGCTTGGTTCTAAGCAATAAGAACAAAAGCAAGGACATGGTTTCAGGTTGTCCTAGCTGGGTTAAGTAGTCTCTGTAGATAAGTAAAGTTCAAAATATATGAGGGTTTAAGTAAGAATTTTCTGTTTAATGTTTAGGCGAGTTGTTCAGCTTCAGCCTTTTTCTTATATTCTTTCGTTTTTTCAGTGTAGATGGATCATTACATGACTGGAATCATGCCTCCTAGAAAATTAACATGTGAAGATAAAAGGAGCATACTGAAAAGAACAGAAGCCCTATGAGTTATGATTCTAGTAATTTTTCTTGATTCTGCTCAATAGCTGACCTCCTGACTCTAGCTTCCCTTCATGTGAGAAAACAAGAGATGAAAACTAGGATCAATAGCATGATCTCTAAAAGTAGTATCATGAATAGTACAAGATATTAGATAATGGGAATTCTTGCGCATGTTATGTTTCTAAAAGATGAGTATGTTTTGATTGGGTCAAATTAATTTAAATTATTGGAACAATAGCACCAATGGCAACACAATGATTTAGGCTATCCATGGACCATGATCTTGAGTTGTTATGGAACCATATTTGGAAAAGGTTTTAACCTGATTAGGTACAGGATGGTGGTTCTACTGAATGGTGATGAATAAGTTATCACCCTTTAATAGATGGACCCAAACCCCATATTCCTTTGGTAATGTCTGCTTGAACAGATTTAGTGGCAACTTGGTTATATACACCACTGGGGATTTTGAGGGGTTGTGTAGCAATTTTATAAATCTGACATTGCTGCTCACTAATCATAGATTTCATTAAAGCTTTGCAACTTCTGCAGAAAGCTTACATGTCTAACCTAGTCAATTTATATTGGTGGAAAATGACTTTCTTGGAGCAACCTGCCAGACAATTTTTGAGGAATTTGTCAATCTCCTGAGATAATCTATTGTTAACTGGTGTGGAATGATCATATTGATGTTTGGAAAAAAAAAAAAAAAGAAAAAACGAAGAAAGTAAACTGATTATCCATACCATGCTAGATGCATAGAATGCATGCTGCAGCAGGTAAGAACCATTCATTTTATCTATTTCTATTTTTATCTTGTTATTATCAGCACCCTTTATTGGTCCTATCATATGTAACATCTTTTTAATTATCTTTAATCTTTTTTTTTTGTGGACGGTCCACCCTATTATTGTTATTTGACCATCTAAAGAATAAAGGTGAAAGTTTTAGTACCATATCATCCCTCTTGCCTGTGTTATGTGTTCTTCTTTGGAACATTATTTTTTATTTTCAACCCACAGTTTACCTTGCATAATACAGATATGGAGATATAGGCTCCTGCTCTCTGACTTTAAGCTATAACTTCTAGAAAGCATCTGCAGAATTTTCTTGATTTCCCTTTTCATATTGGTATATCCACTTTCTATTGTTATTGTTCTTTATTGTTTGTATTATCACTAATTCACTTGTTTTCAGATTCTTGGCTGTCCTGGATTGAAGATGGAGGTTGAAGTGCCTGTCGACTAAGTTAAACTGGGGAGTTTAGCTACCTTGGCTCACGATAAACAAAGGAGAGGATGCCCAGCAATACTTTGTAGCATGCGTTTGAAATCAACCTTGGGACACAACTCTGTCTATAATTTTCTTTCTCATACTTTTTTTTTTCGTATTTTCCATAACAAATGAACAATATCGGAGAAACTCTCTCTCTGACATGAGAAACTAAGCATCTGAATTTTGTAAATAGTTAAAGATATGAGTAAAAATGGGTGGGAGGTAGAGATAGAAATGCAGTTTCATTTGCGTTTTATGATTATAATTTCAGTATATTTTTGTGTCATTGCATTACATTATTGAAAATTGTGGTGGCAATTTTCAGTGTGGATTGAAGCCCGAGGCCCTCCTTTCCAGTTTGGACCAAAAGCTATCCAACTTGAACCCTGAGATTTTACAATTCTAACCGACTCTGTCATGAAAGAAAGATGCTTAAATGTCTGAACTTTCAACTCTCACGTTTCGAGTTAGCAAGTATCTCTTGCTACAAGGATGGTCGCTTCAGTAGTTCAGTACTATAAGCAAAAACACTGCAAATTCTCTGAAAGCACCGGTCACTGGTGCACGGGGATTCAGACGGGTATGGGCACATGGCATGTATGGAAACTGAAGCATGCAAGACGGTCGATTGTTATTTTTTTTCATAAGCTGTCCTGATAATTTGAACTGTGGACATATTCCCAATTACAGAGGAAGCTTATACTTGTTAGATCTATGGAATTTTTCTTAACAAAAGTTAAAAATTTAAAATTATAAAAATATTTTTTATTAAACTCATTGATCTAACAATAATTTATTTTAAAAATTATTTTACTAATTTAAAAATCTGAAATTAAAAAAATAATATGTATTATATATTCAAAATGATTTTCATGGTATGAAAGAGCTATAAGATGGAATTATTAATGATATATCAAACTCATTAATCCAACAATAATTTAATGCATCTTGTGGTGAATTTTTAGTAGATTGGAAACCTCAAACAATGCATGTTACGTTGTACTATTAGTGATACTACTGAAATGATATGTACATGTTCTAGACTCTTGGTATTGTTGATAGTAACGGATCTTCCTATATATAAAGGCATGTACATTTACGTGTTTATACTCTGTGTTCTGGTTCATGGTCTGATGGCCTCTGGCACTACAGAATGGGGGCAATCCATCGTCCATACCCATAACCCCACCAACATTGATGGCAATGGGATTTGATCCCAATTTTTTGGGCATTTTAAACAATAACAACACCTGATTTGGTAATATCTTTCCAAGGGTATCGTGTGACAGAAAGGATGTCAATTAACCAGATATTGTCATGGTTATCATCAATCACCTTGTTTAAAATTCAGAGCAGTGTTAAATCCTTTCACTTTCTCATGATTTGATATCAACTCCATCTCACACATCCATATATAAATCTCTAAAAGGTTTCTTGCAGCTAACATCTCTGTGCATCTCCCATGCTGATCTGAAACAGATAAGACAAATTAATCTCCATGAATACATTATCACTCAGTTTTCATATACTTTTTAATGTTTCCTCTCCCTCCATTTACTCTTCCTTCACTATTAGAAACAATGTTAAGCTTTTGTTCTAATAAATGACCATCCATGTATTTAAACAGGATGCAACCGGAACAGGTCTGCCACAAATTCCTACACTGAAAGGCAAGTCTGACTCTTGAATCAAGAGTTAGTTAAAGCTAATATATATCTTCATACTTTCTTTTGGTAGGACAATGTTAACAGAATTAGTTAGATAGAAGTCTGTTAAGAGTTAGTTATAAGATTCCCTCCATAATTTAGTTACATCCAGTTGTACTTGTATCTATAAATATAGTGACCTCTCTCTCAGAAATGTAATGAAATGAATTCTCCCGCCATATGTTCGTTTAGAACTCTCTGCTCATTCCTTCTATCTTGAATGTTCTTTATGTTTTTCATGGTATCAGAGCCACTCTCATTCTGTTAGTAGAGATATGGCGTCGTCGAGCACCACGCTTGCTTCAACATCGAGCAAACAAAATGTTGAGGTGAAGACCTTTACTCATGCAATTTCTGTTTGATTAACAGAGAACAATTTTCTTCTATGGAAGCAACAAATTATATCTGCGATCAGAGGATACAAATTGCAACACTTCTTGCATAGTTCTTCAGTTCCAAAGAAGTTTCAGACGCAGGAAGATGAAGATCAAGGTAGAGTTAGTGAAGAATTTATAGAATGGGATCAACAAGATCAATCGCTAGTGTCTTGGATGCTTTTGTCAATGTCCGAGAACATGTTGACCAGAGTTGTTGGTTGTGAGACATCTTGGGAAACTTGGGAGCGAATTCAAATCTTCTTTGCGTTTCAAACTCGCGCTAAAATCAAGCAGTTGAAGACGCAATTACGGAACACAAAGAAATGTTCATTGTTTGTTAATGAGTACTTGTTGAAAATTAAAGGTACTGTTGATGCTTTGGCTGCGATCGGGAATCCGATCTCTCCGAGTGATCATATTGAAACTATATTCGATGGACTCTCAGAGGATTTTGATCCTTTCATAACATCAGTTACATCTAGGCTGGATCCATACACTGTAAGTGATATTGAATCACTTCTTCTTGCACAAGAATCCAGAATTGAGAAACACAAATCAATGGAGACTCTCACAGCTAATGTTGCATAATTGCAAGTCAAGAATAATTCAAATAATCCTACTAGTAGACCTCCATTTGCAGGAAGATGAGGTATGAATATTCGAGGTGCCAGAGGAGGTATGAACTCTGGTAGGCGAGGAGGAAGATCAGGCAGAGGTGGTTTCAACAGACCATCTGTTACTTGTCAAGTGTGTGGTAAATTTGGTCATCTTGCATCCAATTGTTACCATAGGTATGACCAGAATTATCAGTTATCCGTTGCAGATTTTCATAATGCACAGAAGCAACAGCAGCAACAACAACAACAACAACAAGTCTCCTCTCCACATCTACAAGCTTATATTGCTACTCCTGAATCAGTCTCTGGCCACTTATGGTACCTTGATTCAGGTGCATCGAATCACATTACCTATGATGCAGCCAATCTTGCAAGCAAGACTCTTTACACAGGAACTGATGCTCTTCATATTGGTGATGGATCAGGTTTGCAAATTTCTAATGTTGGACACGCTTTAATCCACTCTTCTTCCTCTCCTTCACCTTTGATTTTGAAAAATTTGCTTCATGTTCTTCTTATTACTAAGAATCTTCTTAATGTCTCTCAATTTGCTAGAGATAATAATGTTTTTTTTGAATTCCATCCTAATTTTTGTGTGGTAAAGAATCAAGTTTCCAAGAGAATTCTTTTGCAAGGAAAGCTTAGAGCAGGTCTCTACTCTTTTGAAGATCTACATGTGACCAGATCTGTTTTTTCTTCAGCATTTAGTTCTGCTTCTACTGTGTCTCAACAGCCTTCATCTCCTTCTACTACACCTATGTCTGCTCATACTGCTTACACTGCTTCAGCATCTTCTTCTGCAGCAACATCCTCTTCAGTTTCTGTATTTCATTTGTGGCACAATAGACTAGGCCACCCTTCTTTACATGTTCTGAATAATGTATTGAATGCTTGTAATGTTCCTGCTGTTAATAAAAAGGATCTGGTTGTTTGCACGGCTTGTGTATTTGGTAAATCTCATCAACTTCCTTATTATGCTTCTTCTTCTGTATACACACAACCTCTACAGTTAATCCACACTGATTTTATGGGGGTCAACACCTCTTAAATCATACAATGGATATACCTATTACATACATTTCACAGATGCCTTCTCTTGCTATTCCCGGATATATTTCTTTAAGAACAAGTCTGATGCTTTTTTCTGCTTTCCTTCAATTCAAGACTATCGCTGAGTTGCAATTTGATCATAAGATTAAAACCATTCAAAGTGACTGGGGAGGGGAGTTTAGAGCCTTTTCTTAGTTCCTCTCTGATAATGGTATCCTCCATCGCTTGAGTTGTCCTCATGCCCACTAGCAGAATGGTTTGGCCGAACGCAAACATAAACATATAATAGAAATTGGTTTAACTCTTCTAGCTCAATCTACTCTTCCTCTCAAATTCTGGGATGAAACTTTCAGAACTGCCACCTTCCTTATTAATCATCGCTTACCTACTCTAGTTCTGAGTGGTTCTTCACCATATTCTCTTATTTCATTCTCCACCTGATTATTCAGCTCTTAGAACTTTTGGCTGTGCTTGTTATCCTCTCACTACTCCTTACAATAAACACAAGCTTAATTTCAAGTCCACTCAATGCATTTTCCTTGGCTATAGTCTCCAACACAAAGGCTATAAGTGTTTGGTACCTTCTAGCAGAATTTACATTTCTAGAGATGTCATCTTTGATGAGCATCTTTTTCCCTATTCTACTCTATTTTCTTCATCTTCCACTTCGGTTGCAACCTCTTCTCCTTCACCTCCTCCTTTTCCTTCAACATCTCCTCCCCTAGCTGAATTACAAGGTGTCCCTAGATCTTTGACACCTGAATCATCTACTAATGTTGAGAGTGTTATTCCTACTGATCTTGTTACTAATACTTTGCCTGGCAGTTCGGATTGTTGTCCTGCAGTTGAGCCCACTTCTGCTCCTACAGTGAGAGTTATTGGTTCTGTTTTATCTAGCTCTACAGAATTACCTGCAGCACGTGTTCAGACTCACTCCCAGTCACTTCATCCTATGATTACTAGATCAAAGAATGGTGTGTTCAAGCTTAAAGCCTTGGCTGCTTATAAAGAGTCTTCCACTATCACAGAGGCTTTGCAGTCCCCTGATTGGAAACAAGCTATGGTAGAAGAATACTCTACTCTTTTGAAGAATCATACTTGGGACTTGGTACATCTTCTTGCTGATAGAAAATTAATTGGCTACAAAATGGGTGTTCAAAGTTAAACATAATTCAGATGGTTTGGTTCAGAGATTGAAAGCAAGGCTTGTGGCTAAGGGATTTCTTCAACCTGCAAACCAGCCTCTTATCTTCAACTTCAAAACCTTGAGGTTGATCCTTATACACCTCTTCTTCTAAAACACCATCGCTTGAGTTGTCCTCATGCCCACCAATAGAATGGTTTGGCCGGACACAGACATAAACATATAACAGAAATTGGTTTAACTCTGCTGGCTCAATCTACTCTTCCTCTCAAATTCTATGTAGCCTTCAAGTGTAGCCCATGACTAGCTATCCCAGCCAAGTACCTCAAAATACGCTTGACTAACTTCCAATGAGGCTCTAGAGGCTGCTGCATAAACTGGCAACATTTTTTTACTGCATATGAAATCTCAGGTCTGGTTATGGTAGCATATTGGAGAGCTCCAACAATTAACCTATAGGCTGTGGCATCCGCAACTGGTTCACCCTCCAACTTTAGACAGCCTGAGACCGGTTGGCATAGGTGTATCCACTCCTTTAGCTTGAGACATATGAGCTCTCTGTAGTAAGTCTTTAACATACTTACTCTGTGAAAGATGCAGGGAACCATCTTGAAGCTTATTCACTTCAATACCAAGGAAATAATTCAGCTCACCAAGATCTTTAACAGAGAATTCGTTATTCAAAGTTTGAATTAAACTGGTCACAATTGATTGAGAACTCCCTATAATAAGCATGTCATCAACATACACTAGAACAAAAGCGGTATGCTAGGAGGTCACTCTCAAAAACAATGAATGATCACACTTGCTAGACACAAACCCAAACTTTGACAGAATTGTTGTTAACTTCTCAAACCAAGCTCGAGGAGCTTGCTTGAGACCATAAAGGGCTTTCCTCAACCTGCAAACCAGCCTCTTATCTTCAACTTCAAAACTTTGAGGTTGATCCATATACACCTCTTCTTCTAGAACACCATTTAAAAAAGCATTATTCACATCAATTTGATGAATTTTCCATTTCTAATAGAGAGCCAGAGTCAATATAATTTGGATTGTTGTTGGTTTAACTATCGGGCTAAAAGTCTCTTTGAAATCATGGGCTGCACTTGAAGGCTACACAAAATTTGTGCTTGTATGCATTTTCTGATGTAGATTGGGCATCAAATATTGATGATAGACGAAGTACTACTGGCTTTTGTGTTTATCTAGGTGAGAACTTGGTGTCTTGGTCTTCTAAGAAGCAGCACACTGTTAGCTGCTCGAGTACAGAAGCTGAGTATCGTGGGATGGTACACGCAGTAGCTGAAGTTGCTTGGATACAATCACTCCTTAGGGAGCTGAATGTGACTCTAAGGAAAGTGCCATTGTTGTTATGTGATAATCTCAGTTCTATCTTGTTGTCTGCGAATCCCATCTTGCATTCTTGGACAAAGCATATGAAGCTCGATATTCATTTTGTTAGAGAGAAGGTTATTAGGAAAGAGTTGGAGGTTGAGCATGTCACTTCTACCGAGCAAGTAGCTGATGGCTTGACTAAACCTGTTTCTAGCCTTCAGTTTGAGTTGTTGAAGAACAGATTAGGAGTTCGAGATTTGTAGACATGTGCTGAACGAGGGAGGTCCAAATTACCGGGGCATGTTAACAAAATTAGTTAGATAGAAGTCTATTAAGAGTTAGTTACAAGATTCCCTCCATAAGTTAGTTACATCTAGCTGTACTTGTATCTATAAATATAGTGACCTCTCTCTAAAAAATGTAATGAAATGAATTCTCCCGCCATATGTTCGTTTAGAGCTCTCTGCTCATTCCTTCTATCTTGAATGTTTTTTATGTTTGTCAGACAGTCACAGCGATGCTGTGCTGTGCCATGCTTTTACCCAGAAATAAACTCAGTTACAACTTACAACTATTTGTTGGGGTTATGCTTTCAGAGACAACACTATTCCATGTTTAGATTAGTGTCTTTGGATGCTATCTTTCATTTCACTTGTATTTTGCTTTTGCTTTTTATAAATGATATTTGATAAGCCCTGGACAAAGGTTGGGAGCTTAAGCAACTAATCCTCACATATTTGGTTCAGAATCTTCTAAGTTCTAACCAATGCTCTCAATCCTATGGTGAAATTTGATATGGCTATAGATGCATCATGTAAATCAATGTCAAAGAAAAATTGCAAAATCATATTAACAAACATAAACTAAGTCAACAATAGACCATATAATTAATAAACCAAATGCCTGCAAAGTATAAAAATTTATTTTCTTCATCATCCAAGCATTATCCCAATCATATGGGGTTTGGTTACATGAATCATATTTTTCCATTTTGTTCTATTTAATACCATATTATTAGCGATTAAATCATTTATTTCAAGTTGTTGAGGTGGTGGGTCCCACTCAAAATTCCAGATTTGTGGTGTGAAATGGATATTTGGGAATATAAAGAAAAATAAAATAAAAGATTTGAATTCAAGTTAGTTCTTGTAGAGGCTGTAGAGTGTAGAGGACTAGGACCTCATCCTTGAATAGGTTTTATTCTCTAACGTGCCCCCTCACACGAAAGCCCATTCGGCTTGAAGCGTGGACAGCACAGGCCCACCCATAAATTGCATTGAAACTTGATTAATTATAATGGGAGTGACGAGAATCGAACACTAGACCAATTGATCAAAGTGGCTAACTCTGATACCATCTCAAAGAACCATTCAACCTAAAAGCTTAAACTAATAAATAGTCCTTAAATAGGTATTCTCTAGCAAACTCTAGGTGGAGTGTCCAAGTTGTCTTCTAATCAGTGGCCTGCTTCACGGCTCTTCCTTGTAACGTGGCATGACTGGAGACTAGTGCAACTCTATTACAAAAGTCATGGCAGACAGACAATGACAACTTGAGTTGCGTTAAGGAACCTGGAAGGAATATTCAAAGAGCAGAGAGCAATGCTAGTTTTATAGATACAAATTTATTCTAATATGGAGTTTCGATGAAAACCCATCACAACCCCTTCTGAATTTCGATGAAAACCCATCCATACGAGCAGTTATCACTTTTATGATGTTATGATATTGGTTGGTTGATTGTAAGGTTTTTTCGTTATCATGGTTGATCCCTTTAATTTGCTCTACCTCTTCTATTTTTGATGAAAATGTCTTAGAGATTAAATCTTGGAAACAATCTTGTTTTATGTTTTATTGGATCCTCCATCTGTCAAGATTGATGGGCCCTACGCATCCCACAGAAACTATCCTAATATGCATTTATTGAACTCTACAGTCTAGTTTCGCGGTATCACTGATTATACACCGCTGATCAACGTCCACCTGTCACAGACTTACAGTTAAGAGTCGTGATTTGGTGCGGCTGAATGCACGGTATTAATGTAGCAAAGTTCTAAGGTCGTCAGGCTTGGAATAAATTCGTGGGGCCCATAAATACCGGGCTCACCATTTATTCCCATCCGACGGATTTAACTTACGGCCTCGAATCGTTTCCTTTCACAACTTTCAGTTTAAGAGGAGCCACACTGCATTAACTTCTAGCGTGGCTTGCTCTAGTCCATTCAAAGTTCAGACATGTCTGAGTCTGACTTCACTTAAAAAGAGCTCCTCCAGTTCTTGGCTTGGTTGAGTGACGAAACAATGGCGAATTTCACACTTCGAACAGAAAACTGGTGCTGTTTCTCTCACCAGAGAAATTCCTGGAACCCCATCTCAAATGCTTCTCTCAGACACCGCCAGTTACATATCTTCTCCTCAAAGCGGTTCCTTAGGTTCAGAATCTCTTCCAGTATCAAAGAAAAAGGAGATGTTGCGGAAACGGAGAAGACAAGAGCTATCAACGGCCTACGGCGAGTTGCCAAGGAACCGGAGACGACGGTTCCAGTTTCAGTTTCAGAAGACCACTCGGGCTCTGAAGGGAGCTCTAGTGTGGAAGGGTTTGATTGGAATTGGCCACCTTGGAAGCATCTCCCCCATCGGTATAAGCTCATCGGCACTACGTCACTCGCTTTTGTTGTTTGTAATATGGACAAGGTATGCTTTACTTTTATTTTGTGGCGTAATTCTTCGAATAGTTACTGGGTCTTAATGCTTCTCCTTGCAAACAAAATGGGTAGGTGAATTTGAGTGTTGCTATAATACCGATGTCGCACCAGTTTGGGTGGACTTCATCGATGGCTGGGTTGGTTCAATCGTCTTTCTTTTGGGGTTATGCTTTAAGTCAATTGCCTGGTGGATGGCTCGCAAAGATTTTTGGTGGAAGGTTAGTATCAATAACTAACAGGGTTTCCTTGATCCTTCAACCTTGTCTGGTATACTCACAAGGTTAGGATCAATTTAATAAAAACCTTACCAGAGGGACCATTTCATTGGATTCTTTCAGACGAGGTTGGAATATATGTGATAGATAATATTTCTCGATATGCATATTGTTCGATGCTTGTTTTATCTTTGCATGTTATGGTTATGTATTAGGGTGAGTTAAGTAGGAGATATACTTCATTCCTACTAGTTATTTTGTTGATGATGCAGAAAAATTCTTGAGGTTGGTGTCTTCAGTTGGTCTGTGGCCACAATACTTGTTCCTTTGGTATCAGGATTCCTGCCTGGACTTGTTTTTTCAAGGATTTTGGTATGTTGCTTTCTCTGACCCATATCATTCTGAAATTTTGCTTTTTGGGTGCTATGTGCCAACTACATTTCTTGGCCTTCAGTCTATTAGCGATTTCCATTAACGCTTGTGCAGTTTTCTCTTCATTTTCCTTTCTGTATGGCTTATGCAGATTTTAACTACCTCACCTTTCATCTTCTTTTCTTTAAATTCCAGGTTGGCATAGGAGAGGGCGTTTCCCCTTCAGCTGCAACTGACCTTATTGCCAGGCAAGAAATTAGAAATCTAGGACAAATGATGTAGCTTAGAAAACATAATGTAAGGATTGGAAGCATAAGCCTAAGCATAAGCTGCAACTAACCAACTTGTGTCTTCCAATGGCCTTATTCTTGCTCTGGTTTTTGAGGACTATGTATTTTTCTTCTTCTCTATGGCTCCATGCTTATTTTTGATGAACGAAGTGCATTTTTTTTCCTGTTGCATCCAATGTGAAATGGTTTCCTTTATGAACCTCCTTTAGTGTAGACCTTCAGCTTAGCATATTTCTCTTTCTATATTCATTTTGTTGTAATGTTTATAAATTCTATTTTCTTGATATTACTGTTTGGAAACCTTATCTTGATTTTCTTCTTTTTGCACATATCCCCATGCTTCTGTTTTTGTGATTGCAATACCTTTGTTTGCATAGTAAAATGTTTTGTGTTATTTGAAAAGCTCATAGACTTCTATTCACTTAAGAATTATCCTTGCATTCCAGGTTTATACCATCGGCAGAGCGGTCACGGGCAGTATCATTTGTTTTTGGTGGCTTGAGTGTAGGAAGTGTTCTGGGGTATGTTTCTTTCGAAGGTGGAGGTAGAACTGCCCCATAATGTCAATATTTGTTTTTCTAGTTTACAGTTGGTACCGTTACTCAATTGTATTTCACAATAAATATCTATGGTGGAATTTGATGCTTGATTGTAGGGACTAGCTAGGAAAGAGAATTATAACATACACAAGAAGATGATATTCTTAGGAATTTCTGTAGTTCACGTATGAGAAGCTATGACCTCTATCCAGAGTATTAGCATAATGTTTGTGCTTATATGGAAAATATACATCAAAGGCTTCTGTCTTAATGTGTAATGACAAGTAATCAAAATTCCAATACTACAGTTACAGTTCTTATCTGATGGAATAATCTATTTTCCTAAATAAACTCTTGTAGAACCATACATATATAGAACAAAGTGTGTTGAATCTCAATTCAATCCAACCAACCAAAATCCTATTCAATGATTTAGAGTCAGCAAATAAATCTTTTATTGCCAATATACAATATCGAGGTCCATGCCTTGTGTCAAAATTTGAGTCATCAGATCAGATGATGTGTTAAACCTCAATCTTATGCTTTTTTGGCCATCATTTAGCTCTTCTATAACCATCAGTTTGCATCAAAGCACTCATTGTTGTAGTGGGTTCTCTTATATTCACATGTTGAAACTATCTTGCTTACTCCCAAGCCGACTCCATGACTCTCCTGAGTTGACTCCACTCCCAAGCTAACTCCTAATGCACATTAACTGTCTGAGTCAATTTCTTTGACTTTTCCCAAGTCACTTGACTCTTCATAATCAATTTTGAACAACTTCTAGCTGTGAATTATCACATTTATCTATAAAAATATCAAATAAGTTAGTTAAACAAAATGTTTTGTAATTAGGTCAATTAGGGAGGCTCTTTCATTTCCTATCCATTTATGCCATGTCGAAGAATTCTGCAACCAAATCCAAGATGTCCTTAAGATGTGGACTCCTCTGGACTGATCATGTGATTATTCCCCCATACTTATCATCCTTATAGCCTGCCTTGTATTGGAGTTTCACCTTACTGATAACAAGCTTTCCAAGGTGTAAGTTTATAATTTTTGGTTGAGCATCTTATTATCAATACAAGATATAATGTCACATAATTACTTTTTATAGATTTCTAAGTTGTAACATGATTCCCCAAGTCAACTCCATGATTCCTGATTCAACTCCTTTCCTAATTGTAATGAGATGATTCAAAAACTCAAGTCAGAAAGCTATAGAGATGAAGCCATCTTAATCTATTTTTCCTCATTCATTGTTGGGATATTACTAGATTCCCACAAATGCACTTATTTCTGGTTCTGTCATTTCTAGGTGCCACTTATCCGTATCCAACATCTCTGTCTTTATTGCACATATTTATGGCCATTTTGGTTTTGGTTGCCTATATACCCCATGCAACATTTCCGTTCTTGAGGCGAGAGAAATGTGAAATAAATTTCAATGAATACGGACAATATATATACATGATACAAAATTACATATATGATGCTGAGAAAATGCAAGGAAGGGAAGTCTTGGAGGCATGATGTTTGGTATAATATCCTGTTTTATTTGTTGCATTGTCCTTAGGACTTTAAAGATGAGAGTTGTCGTGACATTTGTTACTTTCTCATTTTAATTCAAATGAACAATAACAAGTTCCTTGTTTTTCTTCTTTGATCAACAAAACTTTAGAAGTATGGTTGGTGTTAGTAAGTTGTATCAGGTTGAAGTATGACAAGTTACTATTTCATTTTGCTTATACACTTCTTTTATTTTCATTTGAAAATGGGTTCATTTTTTGTAGTTCTAGAGATTCTGTTTGTGAAGGTTCTATATCATTCTTCTCTTGAAACATTTTCAATGTGGATATGAAGTTGACATGATCTGATAACAATGTTATATGATCAATCAATTGTCTTGAGATTCTATTTTTCACTACAACCACTATTTGAGTTTTCTCCTGCATATTATGTGTGTGGTGTCCTAAGTTTCTAAATTTGCTTATCTTACTTGAACAATATACATCTGGTTATGACTATACTGTTTGCACGAACATTCTTTTATGTCCTTTTCTGAAATTGGTTAATATTGTAGGCTTCTCTTGGCTCCTCCTCTTATCCAAAATTTTGGCTGGGAATCTGTTTTTTACATGTTTGGCTTTCTTGGAATAGCTTGGTAAGTAACAATTACTTGGGGTCTATCCAAAACCACAAAGTAAATTTTTTTATTGATCAAACTACAAAATAAAATTTTGTTTTATGATTTTTTTTTTTAAATTCTCCTCTATGTATCATGTGAAAATGCAAAAGAAAAAGTCCTGATTTTCAGCCAGTACGGTTCTCCCGGTAGTTTGTAATGCTCAGTAGTTTATCCAAAAAGTTGTGAACATTTTGAAATGTTAACATGACAACTGAATAATTCATGTTATTTTTCAAACAATTATGCAGGTGTTCGGGATTTCAGTTTGTTAAAGAAGAACAATCTTCCTTTACTGGTGAATACACATCACGTAAGTATTTACCCCCTTCGTTGTTGCTGTCTTAATTATAAATCTTCTTATCATCATCATCACCTAAGCCTTATCTCAAATATATGTGGTTGGATACATGAATAAAGTTTCACCATTCCATTCTGTTCATTGACATATCCATTATTAAAATTAGCTAGCTTCTTATCTTGTCATAAATATAATTTATGCTTTAAATGTTTTACTTCTTTATAAATTGATGTTTTCTTAGTTACCATGAATGGGATGTTTTATTTCCAATGTTATTAGGCAATCTGTTGGACATTTCAAGTTGTTGAGTGCTGCAGACATAAATATTGCATGTTGCTTTAAGTTAACATCACTATTACACTTCAACAACTCAAGTAGCAAAGTAAAATGCTATGGAATAGTTATACAAAAACAAGATCAGACGTAATGACAAACCAGCCACCTCTGGTGAAAACAAGACCAAGTAGCATTACTAGCATGAGCAGTTGCAATTGCAAAATGTTTTTATTTACTAGTGGTCCATGGTTACAATATTGTCCTGAGAGAGATGTATTAATTTCACTGTTGTTGTTCATATTATGATTATAAACATATAGGAACATATTAAATGCATTATTATATTGGTATATCTTTTTGTGGCATCATCATCAATTGTTTCAAATCCTGGAAACAGCCTTGTGCACTGGGCTGCCCTTTTTTATCATCAGTTGTTTCAAATAACATGGCTTTCCAGCTTGCACTTCAAGGTTCTTTTTTTCTCACAATTATAAATATCAATCAAACTTTCTTTTTATAACAGGAAATTTCCAGAGTACTGCTAACAGTCCTTTGACATATTTCTCTGGGGAAAAGTCATTGAGTGCCTCCATGAAAGAGTTGGGTGTTTCAGTGAAGGTACATGCAATTAACTGTATAAGTATGACATGTGACATGATCATGAGATTGAGGCAACATTTTAATGCATCAAGTCCACAGATTGAACCTCAAAACATGTCCTATGTTCTTATTAATAAATACTTTCAAAATAAAATGGTCAAATTACATTTATAATTCCCAAGTCCAATAGGTTAGCGGGACTTGACCAAATAAAACAATCATTCTTTATTAGGATGCAAGATAATTTTTTATATGTTTCATTTAATTGTTACTTATTGGAAAGCCCTGGTTTTGTGTCTTTCACTTAACACCCTGAGGCTTATTCAACCTGCTTTAGACAGGTAAATGTCATTGGCTCATGCTTGAACATTGTGCACCTAGCACAACCAGGTCGTAAGCATTATTTTATGTTATATATGCTACGTTTTTCATTGGTTTTGCATATATTACATAGGTATCTTCAATCTCTTATGATTATCTCCTTGTATATCTCTTTTTCAATAATTTTGTTTTTGATAAATGAAGGAAGGAAATCTTTTCCAATAAAATTTTTACCTTAACTTTTCAAAAATTAAAAAAAAATATGGGCAATGGATTCACCACGTAAGGTGCAACTTTTTTTTTCAGTGAATCTTTTAACACTTTAGATTCTTTATGTGCCTTCCATTAATTCGAAGGCAAGCATTATTTTATGTTATCTGTTACATTTTTCTTTATTTATCAATAAATATAAAAAGAAAAGAAAAAGAATTGATACATTTGGACAAATTATTTGCAGGAAGTACCATGGAAGGAATTTTTCCAAAGTCCTGCTGTATGGGCAATGATATATGCTCATTTTTGTGGGAGTTGGGGCCATTATACTTGTCTATCATGGCTCCCTACTTATTTTAGGTATATGTTTCTTTTATTTATTTCAGCCTTTTCATTTTGGTTCATTTTGAGTTATTGGAGATTTTAACTTGTTTTCCTTAATGAGATATGCTTTTGATCTACATAAAAGTTATTGCTGTTTTTGGATTAGAGTATTGATGGATTTGAGGTTTAGGATGCTGTCCAATCTCACAAGCTTCCATGTTCTGTTATTTGGTACAAACACTGTAGAGGAATGAAAGTCAGGATCTTGTGGAATTCTACAAATACATTGTTGTTTGAGGGTCACTAAAGCCAGAAAAAATTGACATGGTTCAGAACTGAGTTCCATATCTGCACCCAACAGAGCCCTTAAATGTTGTATACATGTTATATGATATTATTGTTTAAGGGTCAACTAGGTGCATCCACCTACCTTGTACAACAGTAGGTGCATCATAGTTGGCCAAATGATAAAGAATACTGTGCCAAACACTTGATCCAAATCGTATGGGGTTTATCCCCAGATCTCTAGAGCCACTAGAAAAGAACAGCCTTGTTCATGAGCCTAAAACGTCTTAAACCTGCACCACCACTTTCCTAGGGGAGGACACTTGAATTCAGTTAACCAAATAGTATTTTCTCTTATTATTTGTCCCATCACAGAGAGATATGAATAATTTGTTTCAATGCATTAGTTACCAAAGCCAAAGAATCGGGATAGCAAACACATCATAAGATTTGAGACTTCCATTCTCCTTTTTTACAAGTTTGAGCTTCCAGTTTACATACATAAGCCTTCATCCAGATAACTTCCTCCTAAATCTCCCACTATCAAATCTCACATTACCTTAGGCCTAGAGATGAATTTGTAATTGGGTAATGTAATTCAATATATTTTTTTCCTTTTCTTTATGGTCAAGCTTGGGCTGTTTGTATATAGGTCCTCTTCATTTCAAACATTTTAAATGCTTGGTTTTTTCTTCTTCTTTTCATCTATAGATCCATGGTTCACTGTTTCTCATTAAAAAAAAAAAAAGACATTACCTTAGACTAATGGTTGGCACCTGAGGTAGGCCAAGATATCTAAATAGTAATGATTCCTTCCTACACCCAAGAGAAACTACCAAATCTAAGTGGAGAACATTTCTAGCTATAAAGACCTTAATTTTTGTTTAACTGAATGGCTATTCCATACACCACTTCAGAACACATTGAATTTCATTATCTCAAAAGAATTATTTACATTGCCACTTTGCATCTTTTCTTGCTTATCTTTCCATGTTTACTTTTGTCATTGAAATTAGAAAGACATTGAAGTTTCAATTGATATTCTGTGCAGTGAGGAGCTGGACCTAAACTTGACTGAAGCTGCATGGGTAAGCTCATGCTATCATTACTTTTCATTACTCTAGCCTTCTAAGGAAGAATCCTTGGATGATGAAACATGAGGCAACCTTGTTGTAAGTAAATGTAAACTGTGTAATTATTAATATACAATTGACATACAAGCTAAAGAAGTATCATGAGTTACTGCATTTGATGGATAAATAATATATCATAGAGATCAGATCGTGCTATTAAGGTAACAGTATGAAAAAAGAAAGTTATTCTATAAATATTTCTTAAAATGCTATTCAGGATATCCCATTTTCCTTATTCTTAAGGGCCAAGATTTAAGCAGAATGAACTATTGAGACTTCTAGGAAAGATCATTGCAATTGTGGGTATAATGAACTAATATCTAAACACAGGTTATGTAGAATATAAAACTTATTCAACTGCAAGGTGGAAAGTTCCTGCCTCAAGGACAGTATCATCAATTTGGATATTTTATTTAAAAGTCCATGAACTTCAGCCAGAAGTAAATTGAATTTTATAGTTGGCCTTGTATCTACTAAGGTAAACCAACCATCTGCAAGAATGCATTAAAATATAACTTACTTTGACAAACAAGGCATAGACCATATACACCAGTGTGATGAGTGGAAATGCCACAATAAGTGATATTACTTCTGTAAACTTAGAATTTTAAGCATGCTGACATGTTAGAATAATGATGTTTAGTTCTATGGCAGAATTTGTTGATGAGAAAGAATTCATGCTAACTAGAATACAACTTTTGACTGGTAGTTTATGTGGAGCATGTTAGTTCCTCATCACCTGTACATTGAATGAATCGATTACTTGGGATTGATTTCATGTCAGATCACCTAAAATGTGAACACATCCAAGAGGTAATTGACCAAATTGTCTCAGCAACATCGCCAATAATATATTATGGAAACTGTTGGTTCATCTGTCTGATTTGTGCTATATTTGATGACTTAAAATGCATATTTTAAATTTGTGGCATGCTCCATAAGCATAAACTTAAGTGCGTGAGTTATCCTTTATTTTAAAGAAGTTTTTATGTCAGGAAATGTTCCATGAACATCAATGGAACTTTACTTCAATGCTTCTGAAAAATGGACCATAATAAGTTTCTCTTTCTTATCCATTTGTAATTTTATTATGTAGGTATCTGTTCTTCCACCTTTGGCTTCTATTATTGTCACTAGTGTTGCATCACAATTTGCTGACAACTTAATTGCCAGTGGAGTTGAAACCACAACGGTATGGAGTTGGGGTGCATACTATCTTGGTTATTTGAATTCCAGATGAAATGAGCATTCTACTAATATCATCTTACTCATTTTGGAGAACTGAAATTTTTTATCTGTAGTGCACCTCTTTATCTATGATCTATGATACTACTAAAAGTATGAATGAGCATGTGAAACTTTCTTCTTGACTAAAATATCCCTGTTTTTGAATTTGGTCCCACTAATTGTGATGGCTAAAAATGTAATTTGAATTGCTACTTTTCACCTCATTCAATTCCCTCTCATTAAGTCTAATGTTTAAGGTATTAAGTATTAACTCCCATTCTCTTCATTAAATCTTATATTTAAGGCATTTTTCTCACCAATAAGTTTTACTAACTATTTCTATGTTCAATAAATTCTACTAACTATTCTATGTTCAATACTTTTTACAATATAAAACCCATGTTCCCATGTTTTTTTTTTAAATAAATCCAAAAATGAAACCACCCATGAGGTGGCAGTTAAGCAATTCAACCATTTGGGTCAAAAGAGTCAACCTATGATGCTATAGTTAAAATAGAAATAAAAACAAAAAAGCCAAAGTTAAAAATTATAAATGCAAAGTAAAAAGAAAAATATAAAAATTCGTAGAAAACTTTTGGTTACATCTCTAATATTATATATTTATCATATTAAACAAAAATAAGTGTGATAAATATGACTTACTTTTATAACATAGAAATATAAAAAGTTGTAGAAAAAATTGGACACATTTTCTTATTTTTGTATAGTGAGCTGAATGTAAAGGCTTCTGTTCATATATAGGCACCTTTTTGTATATGCTGAGGGTTTCTTTCCCTCTTATAGTCTTCTTCAATACAATCAGTTTACCACTTCTCAAAAACAAAGGACATATTATTACTATCATCATCATCATCATCATCATCTAAAATTGCCATGTGCGAAGTACATGTACATTAGTCAGTTATTATAAAGAGGAACAAAACAAAATATGCTAGTATGAACATAAAAAGAATGTCCAAAAACTAGGCCAAAATCCCAACCTTCTCAGATGATTATCCCAAGTCATTATGTTAGGAACAGATCTCGCTAACATAATATTGCTCTATCTACCTGGATAATCCATCAGCCAATACATTTGGTGATCATCTGAATGATGTAAATAAGATATTCTGCCTAGACGCAAGAGGGACCAGTGCCTAGTGTAATGGTAAAATCTCAGGCTGACAAGCATGACAATGTTGATTTGAGTCTGATATCAGCCACTGTGAGCAAGAAAAATGATTAGGGCCAGCATTGAGTAATGGCCTTTTTCTAACCTAAACACAAGATCTCTATCTTCTCTAGTGAAATGTCACATCTTCAATTGTCCTCCATTTATTTAGCTGGTTACAAGTTACAACTAGGGGTGATCAGGGCCAGACTGGGTCTGGTGGGGCTTAGCACCTATGATAAGGGGCATAGCCCGGGTCGTGGGCTTACAACCATAAAAATAGTTTAAGTATCATATATAATATGCATTTATGTATCATATCATAATGTGTTTGTGTGTAAACATGTGCTCATAATTTAACGATGGACATGGCACTAAACAGAATAAATTGGAAAAAACAGGATTCAAGTAGCCAACCCCATATAGTTTGGGATAAGGCTTGAAGTATTGGGCCCAGGCCTTTCCTTGAAATTTGTGGGCTGGGCTGGAAATTATCACCCTTCGTTACAACAAGTTAATCTCATTCCACTTTCAGCCTTACATAAGTCTCAATTCACAATTAGGTTTAAATTTTTTTCTATTGCAGTTCTGTAAGCACTCCAGTTAATTCCCCAATTCATCCAAATAGCAGCCATCAAAATTTCAACTTAACTGCTCCTTGGGAAACAGGGGACAAATTCCAAAACCATAGATTCTTCTCACTAATTCTCGAATCCGTAAAACATTTGAAGAATCTTGGCAGGATAAGCTCTTTTGATACAATGGAATCAAACTTTTTTACTGTCTTTGAATTGCAAAATGAGAGTGCAATTAGTAGTTATGATAAATATCTGAGACTGGGTTTAGGATTAGCAGCATTTATTGCCATGCTGAAAAGTTGTTTTAGTTTTTCTTATTACCACTTACTTATTACATCACCTTTGCAATGTAGGTGCGAAAGATTTGCCAAACAGTTGCCTTTTTGTCTCCTGCAGTTTGCATGACTCTTTCCTCTTTGAATCTAGGATTGCCGCCTTGGGAAGTGGTGACAATTCTCACTGGTGGCTTAGCCCTATCCAGCTTTGCTTTGTCAGGTATATACTTCAACTTCAATATTTCCATCTTCTAAGGTGGTCAAGTTACAAATTGATTTAAATTTTCTAGGTGTAGAGATTTCATAATATCTACACCTTGTATTGCCACAGGGCTTTATTGTACTCATCAGGATATTTCTCCTGAATATGCAAGCATACTTTTGGTAAGTTTCTACAACTTTTCACGTCTCTTCTATGTTTAATATTCCTGTGGCGAGTGTCCTTAGGGTGAGTTATAGGAACCATGACTAGAGTTAATTAATTTCATGCTCCTTTTGGTATCCTTTTCATCCTTGTCTTCCATTTGTAACAAACATCATTAAAGATACAGTTTTGATTGCAATCCAATGTGTTTTCTTGTGCTCTAGGTGTTAGTTGGAGGGAAGGGTTGTGTGATGTTTGTTGTCCTTGACTGTATAAAATATGTGTACCCTGGTCAATTGTTGCCCCAAGGTCATGGGCAACTGAATGTCAACCATGTAACAAGTGGATCTTTTCCCCCACATTAACCATTTGATTTACATTTATCTTACCATATAATAAGATGTATACCATAACCCAGAAATCGTGATAAAAATGATGATCCAACCATCAACACTGGATTTTCCTCCACAACTACTATCCATTTATTTGAAGCAGACAAGTCTCGATTCCTAATGTAGGGATAAAATTGTTGAATCTTGTTATGGCTGGCTTAAAAAGGTGATCACCTACTGAAGAACAAGGTTCAAGGTATCAATACTCTTGATACACAAATTTTTCATATCAAGAGTTTCTATTGAGCGGAACTATTTTTTCTCTAATTTTTTGTTCTGGCAGTTTGACAGGAGACCTTCACATCACATATTAGTGTTTGAAAACATTGAAATCTTATAACTCTTTATATTAAATGTATTGGTGAATGGTGACCCTGAAAACCCATACTTATTGGTCAATCACACCAATATGTTGCGATATTTTGAACCTTGCTGAAGAGTGGAAAAAACTTTTTAGGCCAAGTGTATGGCATTGAGTGCAAAATATGAGTTGTTTCTTATATGAGATGCCAAAATACATCTCTTTAAATAAGTCAGTTTTTCAATTCTGAAGTGTCAGGAATTTGTGTGAAGGAAATTCCAGCAAGAAATAGTTTTAGAATTCCCTAATTAAAAAAGATTTTTTTTTTCTTACCACTCTCTCTATCTCTCTCTCAGGGTATTACCAACACTGTTGGGGCGGTGCCTGGAATTGTTGGTGTTGCTCTCACAGGCTACCTTCTTGATTCAACACACTCATGGAGTGTAAACTCCCTGATCTTGAATAATTCTTGATTTTTCTCCCTGTTGACTATTTCCATCCTAGAGTGTTTTATAAATTTATCCTTCTTTTTACATTTATTTTCTGCAGATATCATTGTTTGCACCATCAATCTTCTTCTACTTGACGGGTACAATTGTATGGTTAGCGTTTGCAAGCAGTAAGCCTCAAAGCTTTTCAAAGAGGGACTGATCCTATGTCTATCTGCGGATTCACTAATCCTGTAATGAACCACTGAAGTTGGAGTTTAGTTCACTCTATGGTATTGCTAAATTCGTTTCTTTTACAGAACTGTTGGCAATGGATATCATCCACTTAGAGGATCGTACTGTTGCAGATCTAATACAGAGAAAGAAAAAAAAAGGAAAATCTGTATATACTCAAATGTAGTTCATTGAACATAATGTATGAGCATGTTAGATTTTTTGTATGTTTGGAGTTGGTGCATCCAACCCAAGTTTTCCCCAGTGATGTATTCATTTTCATTGGTCTGCCAAATAGAAATAATAGAAAGTTTTTTTTTTCTCACAAAACTCAAATTTGCACTATATTGTTCTCTCTTATCATTTTTCTGGAACAGTACAATTGTACAAATTTGCATATATTCTGTTTTCTTATTTGATCATGGTCATCAAAAAGAACAAATTCAGATCCATTTGATCAGACCTACCTACAAGCAGGAACATCAATATCAGGGATGTGGGCGAATACAATAGAAAAAGGAGCAACTGTTATCGGATCAGATCTGTTTACGCTTATAGGTTCCAATGGAGGAATATCCCCAGATGAATTTACAGTCAAGATGTTCCCATTTAAATGTACAGTTTGACTGTGCAAGTTCCCATCCTTGGCTGTTAGGTGGTATTCCTCTCTTGTGATTCTGCTGTTTTTATGATCTCGAGGCATCTGAGTAAACCTTGTCTTATGAGATCTGTGTTTATGGTGTCTGTGTTTATGTCTCAAAGTCGATGTCTTATAAAGTGCAGCATGCTGGGTTGTAACATGGACTTGAACAGTGGTGTTGCCATCAAGGTTGATCAGCAGTAATGTTATCCCCGGCTGTAAGAAACATCATGGTTGGTAAAATCAATAGAGAAAACTGTAAAACAATACATGTAGACAAGTCTAGCTCTAACTTACAGATTGTTTCGCACAGTGAGAGTATGCACGTATCTTCTTTGTTCCTGTAAAATTTGTTGAGAGGACTGTCCTTCCCATTAATCGGTGCCAAAGAAGAGCACTGTTGTACAGCAGGAAAGCAAGATATCAATTGGATTGTTACTTTGCCACCAAAAAGAAAAAAATAAAAAATAAAGGTTAGATGATCAGTTCCACAGGATTTATTCTATGAAGAGTCCAATAGTCCTGGCACTTGCATTTCTGCTTACTGGAACAAAAGAGAACAGTGCTTATGTTCTTACATCTTGCCACAATTCAATTTGTATAATTGATGCATATCTCAAATTTGGTTGGACAGCCGAGGTTCAAAATATCGATACACCCGATATGCCGGTAGGGGCGTATCGGGCGATATTGATACTTTCAGGGGAGCCGGTTTAAGGATCCTCCACCCCCTGAACCAGTCAGAACCCCGATACACCCTCTGTAGGGGCGTATCGGGGAGCTCCTGGAGAGATATATATCAGTCGATACGGGCCAATACGTGTCAATATTTTGAACCTTGATGAGACCCGGATATCCATACAGAAGCACCATATCGTGTTGGATGCTTCAATTTGTAAAATATCGTGTTGGATGCTTCAATTTGTAAGTATAAATTTTGTATCCAATACTGTGTTCAGCCATGTCCTTGCCATATCTGGGTACTGGATATGAAATCAACATTAAAAATTGAAGCATCCGACATGATACAGCACCCTTGTACAGGAACCTGGGCATCATAGAAGTTAAATGAAAGAAACATTAGATCAAATTATAAGCATGAACTATGGATCTTCCCTACAGGAAACCACCCATATGTGCCATGCCAAGGGATTTTGTGGCTGATCATACTGCTCATTAGATAGAGAATTCACTGGATTGGCCACATCTCTAATCCCATGCCTGACCTCGTATCAGAATTTTGCTTACTGATAGTAGCCATTCATAAAAATTTGTATATAGAGGGTTATTTTGATCATGTAGCAAGTTCATTTAACCATACTTCTTCGAAGACTGGAGTGTATGAAAAGGAATGCAGAGACTCCTTTTGAACTCCAAACTAATTTACCAAATGGACAATTCCTGGATTGTTAGAGAAGCTTACTACTGATTACTACAATTTGTTTTCTTTACTGAGAAGGCATTGAATTAAATGACAATTCCTTCATTGTTAGAGAAGCTTACTACTGATTACTACAATTTGTTTTCTTTACTAAGAAAGCATTGAATTAAATTTCTGATTAGATATATAATTTCTTGAATGAATTTCAAAATTTGGTATCTTCTAAAGGTCTTGAAAAATCAATCAAGTTGAATAATATTGTATTGATTAATGGATTAAAGATCTGAAGGCTGATTCTTGCAGAAATAAAGAATAACCTGTAGTAATCAGGATTTGGTACAAAGGTGGTAGTATTGAGAAGGCCATAGTTCCCACCAATCAATGTTTGTCTGCAATATGTTTTAGTATCGTAAGTCGCTGACATGCCAAGTTGATCCAAGTACCTGTTTGGTTGGTCATAAACAATAGAAATTCTTAAATAGAGATCTTAGAGATAAAAGTTACAGAATTAACCAGAGCTAACTTACCAGAAACTAAACACAAATGCATTTGTGACAAGATTGTGGCCGCTGTTGTAAGCACCTCCTGCTTCTCCAACCCATGCAGTTGCATTGGTTGCTGTACTTTTGAGAATGCTTTGGAGGCTGCTAAATGTATTTGCCTCACCGTCAAGATAAGTTGGATCAAGGATCTTGTCTATCAGGTGTGTATCTACTCCTATATGTTCAGAAAGAGAGAATGTTTCACATTCTTGCATTTTAAAAATTTATAAGAATTGGGTTTCAAAGAGAATGATGGATACATTACAACCAACACACCTGGACCAAGATTATATATGTGGTGAGTGACTACATCCAGTGATTTTGGTATTGTTGTTACTAGTTGTTTGTACCATCCTGCATCAAAGAAACCTCCTGGTGCTAAAACTAGTGGTTTTACATCAGAATTCTTGTAAAGATCTTCAACTACATGTTGGAGAGATAAAACATCGGAGGCATACTGGTCTGCTGCAACCCTTACTCCAACCCCGTTTCCACTCAATTCATTCCCTGAAAAAAAAAAGCATTTTAATATAAATAAAAAATTAGAGATATAATCTTATTTTAAGCTGAGACAGCATAGACAGTGCAATATAGAGAAGAATGGGTTGGGATATATGAGTGCAAAACTTGAGTATGAATATGTAATGATAAAATATTGTCAAGTCAATAAATATAAAATCTAAATTTGTTCCACCTCTCATACAAGTTGAACTTTTAACTTTTGGAAAGCTTAATGATAAAAGACTTGTAAAATTAAATTTTCTATTGCTAGAGCTGAATTCTCTGTAATCATCATAGCCATATTGATGGTGAGAGTCAGAGGTGGTTAAATGTTCAGAAGAGCACCTCAGGTAATCTTCCCATGATTAAACTTTCTTATAAAAATAAAATAAATGAGAAAAATATCCTTACCAAGCTCCCAACCATAAATGACATAACCCTTGTTTACAGTATAACGTATAAGAGAGGCAGCATTGGTGTAGTCCCAAGGCCCCAGTGCAGAACCATCAGAAGAGAGATTTCTTCCATTGAGTGCATTTAACCCAAAAATAACCAGTGCGCTGGATCAGAAGAAGAGATAATAGGGTAAATGCAGAAGAAAATTGCTTCTGGAAAAAACAGAAGTGCATTGTAAAGATAATAATAGAAGAAATGGATCTATGGTCTGGAAAAATAATAAAACAGTAAGGTAAGTCGTCTTACCCAGCCTTTTTGAAGAAATTGTTCAGTTCATCCCATCTAGACATGGGTAAGCACCCCTGTGTGAAGCCAAACAGCTCGGAACTGTTTTTAACGAACTGGGTACAGGGTTGTGGAGGGCTTCCTGTGTCATATATGACCTTATCTTGCAAGGTGCCTCCTAATCTAAGCTTCAAAGGTGAAAAGGCTGTAAAAAGATGGGGAGAGTTCTATTTCAGATTTTGCATAAAGAACGAGGAACAAAATTAATAAATTCAATCATCAGAAAGTTTATTAAGTACTATCAGGATTCTGTACCTTTCACTGCATTTAACAAAACAGTGTTGTTAAGATCCTGTAAAGAGCAGAAGAAATATGCGGATTTCAGAAAACCATCAAACTCAGAATTCTTAGTAACTTATATCAACTGTTTTTTTTCTTTCACAAAAGGAAAAAGAGCAGCTCATCATATTTTGAAAACCAAACCCAAGTCAAATATTATGATTTCTGACATCCTGATCCATAATATCCCCTCAAACAGAAAAATGAGGTAGAAAAGAACAATCTCACAAGGAATAAAAGCCAAAGAAGGGAGAGAAAAACGGATTGAGAAACCCACATTAAACAGAGTATGGGATTTGATAACAGGAACTATAGATTAATAAAATTTCTAGCCCATTTCCAGTAGATAGAACTTACCAGATTGAGCATAGAAGCATGACCCCAGCTGCAAGTCCCATAGTCACATTTCTCTGGTGGCCACCAGTCCATTGTGGCACAAATAAAATCATCGTCTATCCTCCCAATGGAAGCGCTTCCATTAATTAAGACAGTACCTTCAATAGTTCCACCTCCTGATACATTCTGTGACTCCACTGTTATCGAACTGTAAATACAGAAAACCACCCAGAAGTACAGACCCAGAAACTGAAACTGAGAACCCATTACGGGATTCAGAGTTTCAATCAATGCTGAGGCCTAAGGATTCTAATCCTTCTCAATGGGCGAAAACCCCCATGAAAGCGCAAAACTAGTTGAGTCTAAAGCTGCCCATTGGAGGAAAGGAAAAAATTAAATAAGAAAAGAAGGAAAGGTGGGAGTGGATTCAAGCTTTTAACAACACCCAGCAAAGAATTAAGAATCTTCGTTTGTTTCGAGAAGTAGAAATTCAAACTATCTTCTTCTTTGGATCACTTTTATTTAAAAAAAAAAATGCATCCAGAATTAAATATTGCATGGTTGAATCTTATACCGAGGAAGGACTCTTGCTTTGCTTCCATGCCAAAGATACCCTGCAATCGGTGACAGGTGTGACTGTGCGGTTCACTGGGTCCCACCCCAATGAAATTATTCTTCGTTTTTTTTTGTTAACTAATGAAATTATTCTTTTCACCGTCTTGCTCTGACTCTTACATGAACATGATTGCTGTAGGATTAATGGGTCTCTCTGCTAGCTCTCCACTTTGTTACAGTTACAATTTTCTTTTCTGTGCTGTACTTTTGTAGTGTATCTTTGACGGTTTGAGGCTTTGAGCTAGGAAGGTTTAACTATTTTTTTCGTATTAAGTCAGGAAGGTTTAACGAGAACAGCTTTTAAGCAGTTTTAAATGCATTCAGGCAAAGTTATCTAAAAGACCCACCTCTGAAGTATCGTGCCTTGTTTTAAATAAATACAAAAGACCCACCTCTGAATTCTCTAGACAATAGTTGCTTTAAGACTGGGAAAGCATATCTTTGATGGACCAAAAAAGCCTGTAAATGGTGCAAAAGACAATGCTTTGGAACCTTGTCTACTGGGGCCCTGTAAACAAAGTCCCATTAACAACTTAGAAGGCATAAATGATTTCACTTTCTACATTATGGGATGATGTAGGGAAGAAGAGTCCCCCAGCTGGGACCATTTCTACTCCCTGGTTTTCAGACTTCAAGCCTTCTCTCTTGTCTTATTTTCTCCTCTTATGGTGGGGTTTGGTGAAGCAATTATCCACCAAAATCATGTTGAAAGTTGAGTTGGACAATAATTGATGCTTTTGTTCAATAAGAATTGTTAGAGTCAGACCTAACACCTTATGATTGGGACCTAGTGGCTAATCCCACCACCCACTTTGCTACCACCACACTCATCTGCTCAATCCCTTGTACTAAAAGAAACTCCATAGTCATAATCTGTAGTTTCAGTCTGAAGAAAGAATTCAACCCATGGTGATGAAGTGTTTGTTAGATTGGAATACTTTGTCTGTGAATTGATGTATAAACTGAGGGCCTCCAACCAGGACTTCTAGACCTGCTGGAAAGTGAAGTCTTATTTTATTGGTCTCATCATCATCCTCTGACTCGTTCTTTCTTTTGGTAAGAGTCAGAGAGGGCCTATTCTAACAAAAACATGAGATATGATTATTTGCAAGTCTTTCACAGTTGTCTCCCTCAACTGCAACTTCAACACGTGAATTCACGATACCCTCGTCATCCTCATGCCATCTGACACAATATGACTCGTGGTTGGTTAGTCGTCCCTATCATCAATAGTCTTCACTAACGTCATTCAGTAGTTCATAATCTCTATCAAGTGTTCACTAAATTTTCTGAAAGAACAACTTCAGATCTGCTTAAGGCGTGAGGGAGGACAAAAGGTGGACTATAGATGGCAAATGAAAAGGTGGGTTGAGGGGTTGAGATTATGGTGATTCACCATACCTTTTGTCCAGTTGTCCTGATATTGAACACCTCACGTTTGAACCATTTAGGGGTCCAGTTGTCCTTCAAGTCTTAAGTAATAAGCTTTTTGAAGGGTCTACCGTATCATTTTGAACCATTTAGAGTCATTTGTTGACAATAGCATGAACCATTCCATGTGTAGAGAATAATGGGTCTCTTTTATTGTGCCATTTCAGGAGAGAAGATCTTGGACCAATGCACTAGCTGACATTTCCATGTCTTAATGGAGAAAGCCATTGGTACGAACCACTTAATCCATTAATCCTTGGACCACTGGCCAGCATGGATGACCTTAAGCAGTAAATTAAATGTGATTCACGTCTGTTGAATATCACCATCAACTTTCATGGTTCAACGCTAGGAGAGGAATCTGGAGTGCCTTCACTTTAACCAATTTGACTACTTCCAATCATGCCAACTAAATTCCATGTTTCATTGGGTTGGGACTTGGGAGTGCTTATTCTTAAGCACTTTATAAGTGCTTATTTTAAGCTGAGATCACACGTATAAGCACTTTTATGCGTTTGGAAATCACCTGAATAAGTACTCTTTATAAGCCTATTTTGAATAAGTTAAAAAAAAATTGGCTTTTTCCTAGTGCCTTTTGAAGAAGTCTTTGTTGCTGACCCATCGTGGCCTCATGGCCTGTCACGTAAGTTTCAAAAGACTTATACTACCCCCCATTTAAAGAAGTGCTTTTTCACCAAGCAATCGTAAGTGTTTTATTAAGCATTTGCACACCCAAAATATACTCTAATACTCGTGCAATTTTATTTGTTGAGTGAAAAAAAGGACCTTTCCTAAACTTTCTGACAAGCATAAAAACTTTCCCTTTAATTTTATTTTAACAAGTACCCCCTAAAATTTTGAAAAAAACTGACAAAAACCTCCCTTCCGTCTTTCACCCAAACCAAAAACATAAAAGGGGCGTTCTTTTTTCGGATTTTGAGAGGGGGAAAGTTGGAATTTTGGTTTCCATTGACCAAGAACCCTATTTTTTTTTTTTCAGATTTATGTGGGGATCAGGAAAAAGTTTATTTTCCTAGGTATTACTTATCTAGGGAAAAGTTGTAAGTGATATACCCATCTCCTAGGTGGGTAAATAATTTTTTTACCTAGAAGAAAAGTTGCTAACACTTGAATGGGACAAAAATACCCCTTTTAATAAAAGAACATGGGTAAATGCACTTACTTGAATAAGTGTTTCCCAAGAAAAACTTACCCAAGTGCAATTACCTGGGTAAGTAACTTATCGAAAAGTGAACGAGTCCAAAAAGTTATGAATTACCCCAAATTAATCATCAGAGCATCATTCAAAATATACCGAAATATCAAAAATGCCCTCATTTGATTAACAACACTTTCACGATTTTACGAGTCTTTACGAGTGAGTGTTCCTCACCGGCAAAGTCCTTACAGGTATGTGAAATAGTTGAAAGTTGAGTATTTGCTACAAAAAATAGAATCTTGGTCACTTGACACTAAACAATTTTAATGATTGATTTAAGAATAATAGTGGTTCAATTCAATATATATCTTTCCGAAACCTCCCTAGCTTCAGCGACCATAGACTAGAACTAATAACAAGTACACATCTACAAGTGCAATGAAGATGGTCCTAATTGTGAGGATCCATTTGTCCAATGTTGGTAGTATGGGATGTTAATATGAGGTATCTCACATCGGTAGTATGGGATGCTGTTGTGGGGTATATATGTGCTTGGGTTTCCTCCCTCTAACAGTTAGCTTTTAAGGGTGAGTTCTCTTAAGGCACATATCACTAATCCTCTTCTTCTCGCTCTGATCCTCCTGCAACTCCACCATCACCGTTGGCTGGGTATACGCATAGTCCATCATCTCCACCACTACCGCATCCTGAACCCTGTTGTTGTTGATGCGGTTTTGGTTGGTGTTGCTTCTGCCCCTTCCACCTTCGCTGCCCAGGACGATGACTTTCCAGTGGAAGTTGTGGTGGCACCCACACACCTCACACTTTAGTGGTGGTTTCATCTGCCGTGAACTCCCCATAGCCATTCGTCACGTAGCTGTCGAGGCTGGCCGCATGATTGCAGAGGCATTCTTTATAGGCATCATTTGTGCTCTCCCTCCATAAACATTAATGGCCGCATGATATCCGGCTAAATCTTTGTACAACCCCAGATCACTGAAATTCTTGAAACTCATGTTAGATGAAAAAAAAGCATCTAAACTATTCTCATAGGAGTTCACATCTCCGCCCCACAATGCCTCACAATACATCCCCGCTGTGTATTGGAAACATCTCCTGATGATGAGTTAATACATGGTGGGGATGTGCTGTGAGACGGCCTCTTGTGGGGTGAATAACTCTCTCAGTAGTGTCATCGCTCGTTCTCTTTTTAGAGAATGAATAGAGTAAATGGGCTTCAATACTAAACACTCGTCGGTGAAGAATAGTTGCCGGAAAATGGAAAACATTCTTGGTGAGTGGAATATTCTGATCAATGGTGCCACTACGAATGTTGTGGTGTTAGGGTTTATACTATTCTTTAGCTCTAAAAAAAGACTTGTAAAAACTGAGAAGTGTTGTTAATTGAATTAGGGCCTTTTTGGAATTTTAACATATTTTGAATAACGTTCTAACGATTTCTATCTGGCTCAGTGATAAAAGGGAAGTTTTTGTTGATTTTTTCAAAAGTTCATGGAAGGTATTTATTAAAATGAAACTAGAGAGGGGTTTTTACGTTTGTCAGAAACTTTAGGAGAGGTTTTTATTTTTATCCAAACAAAGTAGGAGTGCAAGTCGGGTGGAGTGGGCTAGGTTTAAGCTCAACCTGGGCCCAAGTGCCCAACCTTAAGAACTAAGCTTAAGGTCTGATTTAAGGTCAAGCTTGATCTGTTTGACTGGAGTCCAACCCGCACTAAAATTTGATGCCCTTGTGTTGGGTTTAGGCCCGGGCCAGGCTCGGGTTAGTCAATCAACCCACACTAAAAATTAATGTAAATGTATATATTTATGTATGCATGTATGTATATAAGTATATATGCATGTTGCATGTAAATAATGTGTATGTGAATTTATCTATGTATATAGTTGGCTTGGGATTGGGTTGGGGTAAGGCTGGGCTGGGCTTGGGTTGCCTAAGGGTTAGACTTGGGCCCAACCCAAAAATTAAGAAAACCAAACATTTGGGCTTAGGCCTAGCCCAAGGACTAAAAATCTAAGCCCAACTTATGTAAAATTATGGGTTGGGTCAGCCTGAGCTCTGGTTGGGCCTGTCCAAATTGCACCCCTAGAAAAAAGAAGACATTAAAATTGCAATGAATATTCCAAAAGTAAAGTTTGGTAAGCGTTTTGGAAGTAGGTCAAATGCGAAGAGGGCAAGGTCGGGAAGGATTTTGCATTTTCATGTGTGAAAAGGGTTTTAAATCTAAAAATCCAACTTACTTAGGTTTTGGAGAAGGTACAAGTTGGGAGGTGGGTAGAGTCTGGAATTTACAAAACACT